ATCCACACAATCTTCATTAAAATAATATTTTCCATCACATCAATAACTTTTCCTTCTTTTTCAACCACACATTTTCCATCAATCTACTATTCCAAAATACATTCTTCCAAAATAATATCCATCAAACACACCCTTTATTTAAAACTCAAAAAGTTTCGGTTTTTATGTTGTTGGATAGCATTTCCATTGCTAAGGTTTTCTTTCTCTCATGCTGCAGTTGACGAGGACATCCTCTTGAATCTTGCTCATCAACACTACAAATCGGGGAACTATAAGCAGGCACTAGCACATAGCAAGAATGTTTATGAGAGAGATCCACGTCGCACTGATAACCTTCTTTTGTTGGGTGCAATTTATTTTCAGGTTCTTTTTGTTCATGCACACAATATCTTTCTGTTTATATTGTTTTATTACTGGTTCTTGCTATCTTTTTACTTCAGACTATGAACGAGATTTATGATCATGTGAAGTAAGAGGACTGACTTCTTTTTTTTTTTTTTGGTGTTAGTTACGTGATTTTGATATGTGCATCACAAAGAACGAAGAAGCTCTCCAAATTAATCCAAATTTTGCTGAGTGCTATGGAAATATGGCCAATGCTTGGAAGGTATCTTCTTATCATGCATTTTGGTGGTGATTTCTTCTTATTTAATTTTATTGTGTGATATCTGGTCTCTCTTTTTCTTTGCAACAGGAGAAAGGCAATAGTGATGTTGCAATTCGCTATTACTTGATTGCTATTGAGGTCTGTTTGTTCTTGTAGATTCTGTAATCCAAGTTCTCATTCTTCAGTTTCAAGGGGATCAGCCACTGTTTCAAATATAAGATCATTTATGCTTACTTTCCTATTTAGTATAAATGAGAAAGATTTAGCAAAATTTGATCACTACCCATTAAAGTTGTTGCAAATCCGACTCGCAAAAAAATATTTTGGTCCTGCATTTTTTTTCTTAAGAGGGATGGATTAATGCTCTGACAAGTAATTTTATGATGCAATTCAGAGGATTTATTGGTCATTTGATTCAATATCTTATTGTATAGGAGTGCAAATGTTTAACACATTTGTCATCTTTGCAATCCGTTTTGTTTTCCTATCACAGAAAAGAAATGAAATACAAAAAAAAGCAAAAAAGAGAAGGGGTGGGGGTGGAAGAACGGAACTCTGTCTTATGTTGTCTTGGACAAATAACTGAATTTCAATATATGCAATGCAGCTTCGCCCTAATTTTTCTGATGCATGGTCAAACTTAGCTAGTGCTTACATGCGGAAAGGAAGGCTTAATGAGGCAGCTCAATGTTGCCGTCAGGCTCTTGAGTTGAATCCTTCTTTGGTGAGTTTTATTCTTTCATTATTTATCTATTTTAGCACTATATTTTGTTTTTCTATCTTTTCTCTTTAACTTTGACCTCTGTTCTAGGTTGACGCTCATAGTAACCTTGGAAATTTGATGAAAGTTCAAGGATTAATGCAAGATGTAAGTTGCCAGTGAACTCCACTTCGCTTTTGTTTAACCTTCTGTTCCAATTTTTCTTGGTGACTTGTTTATAATTAATCTGCTTGTGTTGTACTTTTTTAACTGGTAATTAGGATTTGTATATTGGCAATTTGTTCGGAAAGATCTTCCGTATTTATAAAATTTCTTCATTAGCTTGCTGTTTGTGCCAACCAACTTCAACTCTTCATTGAGAATTTCTTAGTCATATATTCTTTTAAGTTGTTTTGTTCATATTATTTGGCTAGGCATACAATTGCTATATCGAGGCTCTTCGCATACAACCTACTTTTGCCGTTGCATGGTCCAATCTTGCTGGCCTTTTCATGGATGCAGGTGATCTTAACAAGGCTCTCCAGTACTACAAGGTGTGAATTCATATTCCTAATCATGATTGATTTAAGTTCACTTTGGCTTGGCTGCTGATAATTTGATTCGTTTTTGTTTATCTTACCCACTTGGTTGAGCTGGGTGCTCCTGCATACTTAGTTACGTGCACTTCGTTCTATTTTCAGGAAGCAGTCAAGTTGGAACCTAACTTCTCAGATGCCTATCTGAATTTGGGAAATGTTTACAAGGTAAGATCTCACGCTTTGAGATAATAAGGTTGAGTAGCCACAAATGCCGGCAAAAGAGCGTATAGAAAAACAAGATTTTCTTTGCATTTTCCAGGCTTTGGGAATGCCTCAAGAGGCTATTGTTTGTTATCAACGTGCTCTGCAATCACGACCCGACTATGCTATGGCTTTTGGTGAGTATTTTTGTCCAGCTTTTATACTACATTGGCATATTTAATTTTTTTCACGCGCTAAATGTATCAAGTAGATTTCCTTTTTTCATACTGGGATCTTAATTGCACGTATTTATGGGTGTAGTTCAGCGTTTTTGAAAGCAATATTTTGCATGTTTTCAATTGGCTTGAGTGGCGGCTTCGGCTTGTTCTTTCTGGTTGGAGATAGAGTTAATCATTTTTGCAGTTTCTGATCAGCCACCTGATCCAACTCTTGCCTGATCTCCCCAACCCCCCACCCCTCAAAAAAATAAAATAAAATAAAAATAAAAATAAATAGAGAAAAATGAGAAAAAGTAAATAAATATCAAATAAAAATTGGAAAAGAATGAAGTATGCATAAGATAAAAAGGAAATAGGAATATCCATAGATAAAGATCAATACTCGAAAAGATTTTAGTTCAAAGTGCTGGAGTTGATGAAAGAAATGGTAAAATAAGAAAGAGCAGAAGAAAAATTGAAAGTTGAAAAAGAGTCTACCATGCCATCTTGATTTCATTGGGAATTATCCCCTAGACAAAGCTGCTATCAAATACAGGAGGAACTTTAAAAATCTACATGAGTTATTGGCTTACGCTACATTTATTTCTTTTGAATTCTACATTTTAGTAAATATATCCTAGTTCTAGTAGGAGGGGCATCTGATTTAATATTGAGGAAACAGAAATAAACAGTGAATGATCAAGTAAATCTTTGATGGCATTTAAGAGGCTGTTTCAAGACTTACTACTCTACAGGTCACGTGCAACAGTAATTGACAAGATCAAAGAATATTTGAAACCTGAAATTGGATATTCTACTAGCATAATTTCAATAGATAAAATAGTACATCCTTTTAGCTGGAGAATACTTCTATATGTTGCTCCCTAGCCATTAACTCCTTGTAGGAATCTAGACTTGACCTTCTTTTGAGCACCTGATCTGTTCCACCCTGCATACTATAACAATCGCGTTACTCAACATTCCTAAGGACTTCCCAGTTGTCAACTCAAAAGTACTGCATGTCACTGAACTTTTTACCGAGTTTCTGATGACAATATGAAACATCTTTGGCAGGCAACTTGGCTAGTATATACTATGAGCAAAGCAACCTTGATATGGCAATAGCCCACTACAAGCGAGCTATTGCTTGTGATNCTACAAGCGAGCTATTGCTTGTGATGCTGGATTTTTGGAGGCATACAATAACCTGGTTGCTCTTTCATCTCCTTCTAAAATTTGTTCAATATCACTGTGTACAAAATTTGAGCTGATCTGTGCTCTTATTAAAAAAATATGAGCTTATTATTATTATTATTTTATTTATTTATTTTTGGCTTTGATGATCGGGCAGGGTAATGCATTGAAAGACGCTGGAAGAGTTGAGGAAGCAATCAACTGCTATCGCGTAATTTCTCTTTTCATTGTGATTGTAGTGCTTGGTTTTTCTACCTAACTTTTGTCCTCTTATCTCATCCTTATTTTGTTGGTTTATGAAGCAATGCTTGTTTCTTCAACCTAGTCATCCTCAAGCACTCACCAATCTTGGAAATATTTATATGGAGTGGTATGTTGAGGATACATGACAATTAATGTGAATTTTATGTTTCTATTTGGGTGTCCTCTTCATTTGCATTTGTATCCATGTTGGTCTTCAAATGTTCTGTTTATTTTTGTAAAGGAACATGATGAATGCTGCTGCTCAATGCTACAAGGCAACTTTATCTGTTACGACAGGGCTTTCTGCTCCTTTTAGTAACTTAGCTATAATATACAAACAACAGGTATGCTGTTGACCCTCAAATTACAAATTGTGGTGCAGACTAACTTAGAAATAGCTTGTATAAAGGAAGTTCTTCTGTGATGCTAATAATTCAGAAGATTTTTATCTGAAAGCTGCAAACAATTTTGTGTTCATGTGAATCACAGGGTAATTATGGGGATGCTATATCTTGCTATAATGAGGTCCTCAGAATTGATCCAATGGCAGCAGACGGTCTTGTTAATCGGGGTAACACTTACAAGGAAATTGGAAGAGTTAATGAGGCAATTCAAGACTATGTACATGCTATTGCCATCCGGCCAACCATGGCCGAGGCACATGCAAATTTGGCTTCGGCTTACAAGGACAGGTACGTTATCATGCTTTCTTTTAGAAGATTTTCGACCTATTTTTGGTGGAATTGAATGCTGCATGTGCAATTTGAGCGTGCTTCAATTATTCAATTGGCTACCTGTAGCGGTCTTGTGGAGGCAGCCATTAAAAGCTATAATCATGCATTGATGCTGCGCCCTGAATTTCCAGAAGCAACCTGTAACCTTCTTCACACTTTACAGGTACATCTACAATACACTGTTATTTTCTCTCCGGGTTTCTTGAAATATGAGGTACATTCACGTGGTTTAGAAGTATACAATAATACAAGAAATGTTGTAGATCAGAAGTCTGAAATGTATGCTGTTCTTATTTATTTATGCTCACGTGGTTCAGAAAGGTAATCAGAAATTGTTGCTCTCGTTCTTATAGAACTTCAAGCTCGATGCCATATTGCCTTCCCCGAGCCGAAAATGCTAAAGACATCCACGTGATATTATTTTTCCCACTCGTTATGAACTTTTCCACTTATGAAATCTTCTCTGAAGTTCAAATGTTGCGCCGCCAAAATATCAGTAGCTAGACTTGAAAATCTCTAAACTACATATTATGGTTTTTAAACACTATTTGAGGCTTATGCCTCGAATCTTGAGGCTATCATAAATGCCTTAAAACCCGCACCTTTAAGGCCATTTGTGAGGTTTATTCCTTGACTTAGTGAGGCTTACGCCTCAAGCCAACTAAGATGTTCACCCATTTGCCTTATATTTTTCAAACATTTAATTACTGGGGTTAACTTTTTGAATTATTTTTAATAACCTAGCCAACTAAGGTGTTCACCCATTTGCCTTGTATTTTTCAAACATTTTTAGCCCTTGTCTGGGCTCCATTTTAATGGAAATTTGGGCGAAAATGAGTTTTGAAATAGTGATTTTTTGGAAAATATGCGGTTAAAAAATAAAAAAAAGTTTTCGGTTTACGTGTAAAATTATTTTATGCGTGGCTGAAAATGGGTTTTTGAAAAAATGGGGGCCGAACATAGGTTTAATTACTAGTGTTCACTTTTTGAGTTAGTCTTTATAACCTGAAATATTTTACTAGTTCTTTTATTTTATTTTCCTACCTACAAACAAGGAAAGATGGGAAGAATAATTAATAGTTGTAATTGGAGGATGATGACAAAGAATGAAAAGAAACTTATAATGAGGACGAGGACGAGGACGATGTTAATGATTCTTTTAAAGACATATTAGTAGTGACGATTTAAGAAATTTCTATTAGTCATAATTTTGTTACGTCACTACTAGTATGAGAACTTATTATTTTCTATTTTCTTTGATTTATTTTATGTGTGCTTGCAAGTTAAGACTTTATTTTGTTAATTAGCTTTATTATGGATTTTTGAAAGGGATGTGGTATGTTATGAGCATATTTTTGTATTTTTATATTCTTTTGAATTTTTATTTTTTTGTTCTATCTTGAGGTTTACGCCTAAGTGCCTTGAAGCTTACGCCTGCATAATGGAGATCAACATTGTGGAGAAACTTGTAAAAGAGTTACATGTTAATTAAAAATTTCAAAAACCAACAGGATAGAATGGCTCCCTCATTAAGAGATTTATGTGAATCTGACAAGGTCCACTTGTAGTTGAAGTTTTGAAAATGCCACGAGTTTTGATAGAAAATGTTAGAATTTCTTTAGAGGAAGCTTGTTTGGTGTAACATGAGAGCTTTGTTTAAGCTTCATTCATATGATAGAAATTTTCCCATTAGATAGTATGATATTCCATATTGATATGTTTTAGGGCTACTAATGCAAACCACAGAGTTTTTGAGGAAAGCGAACTTGTTTTGCATTATGGTCGTCTTTTTATGCATCCAGCAATTTAGGACATGTCAGTTTACCTATACTTGCATATATTTCAGGGGGCTCTCAGGAATCATGGTTGTTCAGTTCGACTCGTAGTGAACTTAGAAAACTATCTTGACCTTGTAATTGTCATTTATACAGCTGTCATTTTCATGTGACTCGAGCAGTTATTATTTTTGGATGCTATGTTTTGGGGTGGTTATATTTGGTGGAAGTTTCTTTTAGTGACATTTTCTGATTTTCATTTTTTTCAGTGTGTTTGCAACTGGGATGATCGGGAGAAGATGTTTATTGAAGTTGAAGGCATACTTCGGAGACAGATAAAGGTTTCCTAATACTACGCATGTTTGATGACAATATACCCATATATTCATCGAACTTATTCAAAGTATAGGATCTGATTTATCTTTATTAATACAGCTTGTCATTTATTTCATTTTAGATGTCAGTTATCCCAAGTGTGCAGCCTTTCCATGCAATAGCTTATCCTCTTGACCCCATGCTTGCCCTTGAAATTAGGAGATAAAGGCGACTTATAAGTGCGTGTACTGGAGAGTGTTGCTCACATGTTAGTGAAGCACTCAATTTCTCAGATATAAGACAATNCGACTTTTAATTTATCTGAGTAGTATTTAATAATATTCTTTAATAACTTATCAAGTGTCTTATTTGTATGTGCAGTCGCAAGTATGCTGCTCACTGTTCAGTAATAGCATCCCGTTATTCACTTCCTCCTTTTAAGCATCCCCCTCCATTACGGATAAAGGGTGGTGGGGGCAGGAATGACCGGTTAAGGATTGGGTAAGTGAATGAATACTTTTTAACCTTTTTCGTATCAGACAAAAAGGGAAAATATGTTTTTAATCAGTGTTATGTTTCTCTCAGATACGTGAGCAGTGACTTTGGTAACCACCCCTTATCACACCTCATGGGCTCAATATTTGGCATGCATGACAGAGGAAATGTTGAGGTTTGAGAACTTTGGCTATTGTACATCTGCACTTGTTACTGGTTAAAGTCTTTACCTTCTTGTTTATTCAGTGTAAATTAGATGCTCTTTTTGTAGGTTTTCTGCTATGCTTTAAGTCCAAATGATGGTACTGAATGGAGGCTCCGAATCCAGTCAGAAGCTGAGCACTTTTTAGACGTGTCATCTATGTCATCTGATATGATTGCAAGGTTGATTAATGAGGATCAAATACAAATTCTTATTAACCTAAATGGTTACACTAAGGTACCATGTTTTTATAATGTTTCTGGCGCATTGGTTTACAGGTTGTCATTTTCTTAATTAATACCTGTTCCTTCACATGAATATGGCATAGTAGTAGAAAAAGCTTCTGTGACATCAGAGAGAGCTTAATGACATGACATTGTAATTGGTTTTATGTTTTTATAATGTTTCTGGGGCACTGGTTTACAGGTCGTCATTTTCTTAGTTAATACCTGTTCTTTCACATAAATATGGCATAGCGATAGAAAAAAACTTCTGTAACATCAGAGAGAGCTTAATGCCATGACATTGTAATTAGTTTCTGTAGTGTTGCTGCTTATTGATTTTAATTCATTAGGATATTCTTCCAGTTATTCGTCAAATGTATGGTAGTTCTAATCTCTGGTTTTATTCATTTTGAAGGGGGCAAGAAATGAAATATTTGCAATGCAACCTGCTCCAATTCAGGTTTCATATATGGGATTTCCTGGAACCACAGGGGCAACCTACATACATTATTTGGTCACTGATGAGGTAGTATAATTTTTTCTTCAATATTTTTGCTTCATGTACCATCATTGTCGACTTTGATCATATATACTTTTTTTGGCAGTTTGTTTCGCCTATGCAGTACTCCAATATATATTCTGAGAAGCTTGTTCATCTTCCACATTGCTATTTTGTAAATGATTATAAACAGGTATGTCTGAAGCACGTAAACCTTTTAAGCTTCCAAGTCTCAAATTTCAACTCATACTGACCAATACGTTCTGTTATATGCTGTTTAGAAAAATCAAGATGTACTAGACCCAAATTGCCAACATAAGCGATCAGATTATGGACTGCCAGAGGACAAATTTATATTTGCTTGTTTCAATCAGCTTTACAAGATGGACCCTGAGATATTTATTACCTGGTAAATTTGGGCTTGGTTTTGACATGGATGATTCATGTACTTGAAAACACCATGCTGATGCTGAGTGTGCTTCTACTTGAGCAGGTGCAACATTCTTAAACGTGTGCCAAATAGTGCACTTTGGCTTCTTAGATTTCCAGCTGCAGGGGAGATGAGGCTTCGTGCATGTATGTTGTTTAATTTGGCATGGCACGTTTATGGAAGGATTTTTTTTTTTTTAATTAGTAAGGGATTTACCCATCTAGTTTTTAGATGGAATATACTTGGTTGAATAAGCTTCTCTTTAATTGTACAGATGCTGCTGCACAGGGTGTGCAACCGAACCAAATAATTTTCACTGATGTAGCAATGAAACAGGAGCACATCCGACGTAGTGCATTAGCAGACCTCTTTCTTGACACGTATGTATTCCTTGAACTTCATTTTTTATTAGAACCTTAAAAAAGTAATAGTGTGATCATTAATTTTATGTAATTTCTTTGATTTCCTTATCGAATAGGCCCCTATGCAATGCACATACCACTGGAACGGATATTTTATGGGCCGGCCTGCCAATGGTTACCCTTCCCCTCGAGAAAATGGCAACCAGAGTTGCTGGTTCACTGTGTTTGGCTACAGGAGTTGGGGAAGAGATGATTGCCAGTAGGTAGGTATTTGGAGTCATCAGATGATGCAACTTATCATGCTCTATGCTTTATTGTACTCAATAATGAGAAGCAAAAAATTGACATAGAGATGCTCAAAAACTTAATATGGCCATCATCCTATTGCAGATGCTAAATATTAGATGTTATGCTGAAGCAAAACTGACCAAATTTACAATCAGTTGGGAACAATCAACATTTATTGAGAGGAGTTTGCAACTTATCTAATGATGCAACTATCATGCTCTATGCTTTATTGTACTCAATAAAGAGAAATAAAAAATTGACAAGAGATGCTCAAAAACTTATATGGCGATCATCCTAATGCAAATGCTAAATATAAGATGTTATGCTGACTCAAAACTGACCAAGTCTACAATCAGAAGGGAACAACCAACATTTATTGAGAGGAGTTTGCAAGGTGTTTTTGTCATTTTGCATTCATCTGCTTTGTTTTAGTTGCTCATAGGAGTTGTCATGGAATAAAATTGCATTGGATAAGCCTACAGTTTTGAATCTGATGGATAACCTGTTGTATCGGCCGGTACTTCGAGGTCGTGTATGGCTTCAAAGCCATTAGAGAGTCTTTTGTAGCTTTTGATAGTAGCCTTTTGGTTGAGGTCATACTGGGTATCAGGTATAGCTTCCTGGTTATTTTATATTGGTCGATCTTGGACTGCATCTATAAGTATTTTTCTGATGTTAATAGACGAATATTAGTGGAAAAATATATATATAGTCTTATCAGATTGCAACTATGAAGCCACAGATGACTTGTATAATTGGTTGGTGAAGTTGTTCCCTTGTCAGATAAGATTAGTGCGGAATGTTTCTTTTCTTAATTGATTGGTAAAACAAGTTTTCTGTTACTGCATCAGCATCAATCCTGTATATTTTCTTTTCATCGTCTTCCAGTCATGTTCCCTTCACATAATAATTTTATCCTTGTTTCATTCAATACTGTTATTTTTTTATGTTCTATTTGGTTGGCAACTTGCTTTTCTATTTCCTATTGCTTAGCTACATCATCTTTTATTCCGACAGTATGAAAGATTATGAAGAGAAGGCAGTATCACTGGCTCTGAATCGCACTAAACTCCAGGATCTTACTAACAGGCTTAAGTCCGCACGTTTAACATGCCCTCTATTTGATACAGCACGCTGGGTGAGTGATTCCAGTTATTTGCATGTGAATTGTGAAATATTCATTTTCTTAATGTATCTGATGTGGATGCACTGATTATGTTATCGTCTTTTTTCCCTTTCTTGTTCCAGGTGAGGAATTTGGAGCGTTCTTATTTCAAGATGTGGAATCTCTACTGCTCCAGTCAACATCCCCAGCCCTTCAAAGTGACTGAGAGTGACTCGGAATTTCCATACGACAGGTAGAACTATTTTTAAGTGGAAAGTGTAGATAAAGCAAGAGAATATATAAAGTATTATTTGAAGGTTAGAATGGCTGTATGGATGATGCAATAGAGCTCCATATATATATGACAGCGTGAGCCATAAAGTATCATGTTTGGTTAAAGATAAAGAGTTCTTAATCAAAGTTACATTGTTTTCTTGCATTATCTCGAGTATCTGTGCTTGATTTGGTTATCTAGAACGGCGAGATCATGAATTTGCATCCATCTCTCCTTTTTCGTTCCACACGGGGATCCTCCCTCACCCCGAGCTCGCAGACCATAAAGACCTTTGGGATGAGGGGTGTCTGTGGTTAGGACCATTAGGTGTTTTATATGGTGAGAGCTTATGTTCTGGGATCACAAATTCTGTAGATACTGACCGAAGCGGTCAACTGGAGACTCTGAAATCCTTTTGAAGCAAAAGCAGATTAGCTGAAAAACGTAAGAGGAAAAGACTGATCGAAATGAACATCTGTAAATTTCATCTGATCATTAATTCTAATAATGTAAACTTTAGAGGAAGAAATTCAAGAGGCTGCTAAATAGCCAGATGAAAATCTTAGAACTTGTGGATATTGTCTTGAAAAATATCAAAATTTCAAATTTCAAATTTCAAATAAAAATCATGCAATTCCTTCTTTTAAAGGGATTCACAGGTTGCGTACGACATAATGACAATATTTTTTTTAAAATTTTAAATCCAGCATTTAGAACATCTTTAGCACGAATCAATTATCCATAATTTACACAAACATCGTTAAAATGGAATAAATCTTAGAAAGTAAATAAATATATAAAAAGGGGAGATGAGAAAGAAATTCTCAATAGTTTGTCGAATGAGCATACTTGACAAGAGATAGATCAAGGTCCTCCACTTTGATTTCTGTCCTGTTAGTATCTCCAATCGGAGATCAAGGGATTACTCCGTTAGGTTTGAAGTTGATCGGTAATGGCTTGCTTATCTTGCTTGTAGCTTGGCAATGGAACTAACTCTTTTGATTGCTAAAAGACGATATATCTTTCATGATGGAGACTTTTTCAAACTATTTATAAATATCTTTATATATAGTGGTAATTACATAAAATAGTACTTTAAGTTTTTAAACTCCCAAAATCGCATTGGAAGTTTAATATTTCCAAAATCAGATTTTTTATTAATTAATATATTATTACTAAATAAAACATAT